CAGACAGAGGGTAAAAAGAGCTGCTGCAGCACAGGCAGTATGAGAAAAAGAAAGCCCTTTTTGGACATTGAAGCATGTAAACATGTCACAAAATACAAATATGAACCTGAAAATGTGCAGAATAGGAAGTGAAGAAATTCCCAGCACATATACCTGAGCTGGCGCAGGCGTTCATGCACTCATCCTTGGAGAGATAGTTGTTTTTATTTTCCTTGCAGCCCCCAAAGTTGAACATCTCACACTGTTCTGAGGCACCGTTGTAATGCCAGCGAGGGAAGAGCCCACGACACGGCCCTATCTTCATTGGAGTCATGCATTGGTCTGGTGGGAAACAATATTAGGGTTAGGTTTTATTTTGTTTTACTTATGAATAATGTTGCGGGTTAATGATTTGCATTTTCTCCAGTGTGTGACATCTCTTAGGTAGCAACAAATAGTGTTAAAGGAATTGAGAAAAGCACTCTCACTAAGGTTTGGTAAAATATGGTTATCAATGATTAAAGTTGTACTCATCACTCCAAAGGCTGGAGAATACTGATTGATTGTGTATAAGCTGGCTTCACTTAACAATATAACACTTGTTAATGTGGTTTCGAATCCATAAACCAGTTGGACAAAACATTAAAGTTGTGTGTCAACATTTTTAGAGATGGTTTTTGTAGTCTCTTTTAACTTCCTACTTTGGGTGTCTGGCCCGTGAGTAGACAGACACATAATTACAAATGAAACTGAGGAAATGCAACTCGGACAAAAGAGGTGATGTGTTTCCAGCAACAGTGAGGTTAGAGAACGGAAGGTAGATAGTCTGCATGTGGTCGATGATACATGTTCTAAATGGCAGTGCTTATGAACAGTCATTTCACTACATTACATGCTGACAAAGAACTGTAAGCTATACTTTCATTACCAAGCTCTTATGTTAACAAGTCTGATTGACATCCACGAATGGCTTTAGTTTCTTTTCAATGCATTTATTGTTGTGTAAATGTGGCGACGTTGAAATGTAGTCGCTGCCATGCCCAAGCATTTTCCACTGAGGCACATTCCTCTCACTATCCGGGACACAAGCGGTTAATCAGTAACTTAGCCAATACTGTTAAACATATTTTCTTGTCCTCCAGTCAACAATCAACCTGCTTATCCAGCAACGGGTTTAAAGTATGTTTGAATGATATAACTTTTAATCAATACATGAGAGGATTACGGTGGTGTCTGAAACCCTGTTTGTGTAACCCAAGCTGAAACCAGATTGACAGGTTTCGTCGAGTCGGGGGTGGAGAGAGACTGATAGTGCTGGGGAAAACGCTGCACTTCCGTTTTCTGGAGAAACAAATGTGCCAAGAGAGGTTGACTGTGGCTTTGTGGTATTCCAAGGGGAACGACACGGATACTCCACAAGACAAAAAAGGAATAACAATCCCCAAACTGCTGCCTCACAACAATGACAGTTCCTGTTTTTTTTTTTTTTACCAACAGTATTGCCATTACAAGAAAATCTGGTTTAATCTCCCTTAAAACATGAGCTCTTATCTCTTGCCGTTTCCTCATTCAGTCTGCAGGAATTAGGCAAGCATGTCATGACAGGTTTGATAAGCAACTAACACAGAAGAGCTCATGCTTGTGAGAAACAATGGATGAGTTACTTAGAAAAAATAAACTGAAATGAAATACCACACTGGTCACAAGCTATTCAGAACTTGAGGTTATGAGAATAAAGTGGGTAAAAAATATTAATTTAAAAAGGGAAAGATTTATAGATTTTTGTAAAGTAGTTAACAAGACCCGAAGGGCATGATTCTCTGTTGTCCCAACATTAACCACAGGCAGGTGGACTCTGTATAATCCAAAGGGACAGTCAACAAAATACAGGGGAAACACATGACTCATGTTTACAGCTGAAACCAAACCATCCCATTTCAAATGTAACGCCTTGAGTCTATATTTCAAGAGAAACGAACAAATCAAAGCAGCCAAATCTGATATTAGATTTGATTTACAAGCTAAGACCTGATCTTAATTGTTATGCAAGTATTGGCATTTACAGGATGAACAGGCTTTTATGGACTCTAATAAAATTAAAATAAAACGGATATGAATCTATATGTTCAGATGATGCTGAAACAGAAACTCACGCTCAGACTGCTCTGGAGTGAGGACCAGGACGGTGACCTTGGTGGAGTCTGATTGGCCGATGGCGTCTGTGACGGTCAGCTGGAACTTGTACACCCCAGATGTCAGGTTGGACACCATCATCTGGTCATCAAAAGTGGTTTTCTACAAGACACAGAAAGACAGTGTTTTCTTATCATTCACACAAGTGGCCACAATATTTGTCAATTAAGTGATGGTCATAAAATACAGTAGACATTTAAAGGAATATTTTCCTTTTTTATGGTTGTTTTTTGTATTTCTCTTTATCTCTGCCTAGGTGGTCTGCTCTGTGGACCTGCTGTATTCTATCTATGTTTGTAAAGCACAACACAAGTTTTTTTAAACGTGCTATAGAAATTAATTTGACATTAATTGAATGTAAGACACAGACCCAGGATTACAAATAGTCCAAGAGTATTTTAAATTCCAAGAAAAAACAAATCAGGTTTGCATTGCATTCTCTTTACTCACCCCAAAGACAGCATTAGGATATGCGGTGAGCATTTGCCACTGGTAGGTCACAATCCCCTGGTCGTCTTTGCTCTCTACGCCATTCAGTGTCACGGCATCCTGAGGCTGAACCACTAGGTCATGACCTCCGTTGGCCGTCGGCGGCTGATCGCCAGTACCTGCAGAGAAACCATGGGATAGATAGATGAGCAGAAACGAGAGATCCAAATGCAGTTGGAGTCACATGTGAAGAGACAGCAGAGGAATCCTGAATCTCTAATAGGGGTCATAACAACCTGACGTGTGTGAACATGCTGAAATGTAAGGATCTGCCCTAAACCTGTTGTAGCCTCAGATCTTTTTACAAACTAGTGTTTTCTGACAAAGTATTAAGAAAAAATCCCCAAGAATTAGATTTGCTTTCCCAGAGTAACAGCCAGAAATATATATTTAACTGTCATACAGATCACTGGTTTTCAACTTGAGCTTTACAGTTATTTATATTGGTATATGAGAGCACAAAGGAAGAATGTAGGTTATTTTTAACATAAAAATAACCATTACAAAAGTAAAACTACATGGATCCTAAATTTGAAAAGACCCTCGTGATACTCTTATTAACTAAATGTGATGTATCCCTATATGGACTGTTTTGATCTAGAGAAAACTGCCAATTTACGCAATTATACCTTACTTAAGAATGTGTTTTATAAGTTTTAGGACTTACTGGTGGGGACATCCCGTTCCAGGTAGCCATCATAAACGGAGTCCAGGATGTAACTGCTGTATCCATTCTTCCTGACAAAGCGGCAGGCGTATTGCTTATTGTACAAACAGTTTAAGAGAAAGCAGGAGTTGATAACGCCTTCATTGGATCCTCTCTCCATGACGGCGACATTGCACTCCGGCTCTTTGCAGCACGCGCTCACGCAGTCCCTGTATCGAGTTAATTGGGGCGACGAAATGAACGTGGCTCCGTCTTTCACAGACTCGTCGACATCGATGACAAAATCCTCCTGGCCCCTCTTGAATTGGGCTAGACATTGCTCGCCGGCCTGGCCAAAAGTGGAGTCCAGGAGAAACACCAGCAGCAGGAGCGCCCACCCTGCCAGGTGTCCTTTAGGGAGGGAATTCATTTTAGTCCTGTAACCCAAACGAATAATCCACTGATCTCCTGTTTATACGAAAGTAAAAACACCGCCTATTATTAAAGTAGACGATTCCTTCAAGGTGTTTAGGCCTCAGTGGGGCGAAACACTTCTAATATAAACCTTCAGCTACTGCTTTGCACCCAGAAATAGTTCAGGACTTCTCCAAATGCTCTCGAAGCGGATCTTTACTACAGTGAAACTCTCACCAGAGAACAGCCCGTTTGATGTCGACATAAAACCGAGCGATCGACGACATTTGCCCAGGTGACTCACCTGAGAGACACAGGAAGTGAAATTCCACTCCTGAGATGCCACTCCCTTCTGACTGTGAGCTCCAAACACAACAAGGACAGAGGTGTGTGTGTGTGGAATTGTTAATGGGGTACCTACTTTATTTTTTGTCTTTTCACTGAAAATAATTCAGAACATAATTATAGGACCATAGCATGCATGCTTTTTTTGTTGTGGTTTCTCTTTGGTATGAACATACATTCCTTTCATGTGTAACTGTGGAGCACTTAGGTTCACTGCTTTTAATCTTGTCTTCGTTGTTGGTAGGTGGGGGTTTAATTTGTGAAAACTTTGTATTTCTGAATCCCTTAAAGTGAGTCACCTTAAACTAAAAGGTAAACTGAGGTAATTTACAATCTCATACAATGAGTCTTATTTGTGATTTAGTCACAATTCTTGACAAGGAAATAGGATTTTGAAAAATACTTAGCAGGACAATGTAACATTGTACTCACTATTAGGCAATACAACCACTGCAATCATAGTACATTTAAAAGGCACAATAAAGGACATGAGTAGCCTTCATTAGTATTCTTGGTGATACAGAATAAATGTTCTAATACCATGACCCCTTTTTAAATATTTAAGAAAAAGCACAAAATGCTTTGAGTGAAATGTGACAGCTTAAAACAGTATATCAAATCTTAAAACTAACAAAAAGGTAAAAAAACCAATCAAATACAAATCAACAGCAATCAAGCACATACACAGAACAAAATGAAAAAGAGTAAAAAGACTAGAAAGTGTCAGGTAAAGTGTTTTGGATTTACTTTGACTTCTTTCAGATTCACAAGCTTTAATCCAGAAGGTGGCAGTACAATCACATCTACAGCTGAATGAGCAACTGAGAGGGAGCATTACATGTTTACATTACATGTTACTTGTTAGACGCTTTTATCCAAAGCGACTTACATACTCAATACTGTGGGCAATCCCCACAGGAGCAATTTGGGGTGAAGTGTCTCAGGGACACAACGACATGCTGACTGCAGTGGGGAACAATTACACGTTCTCTAAAAGTACTGTATAACACAATGTATGGCAGATCTTTCTCACATTTAGTATAATCATTACAACAATTTATCTGGTAATCTCCCAGAACCCCCTAATCTTGTCCTTGCAAATGTAGTGATAATGATGATTTATACATGGAGTCATCCTATTACAGTAAAGCGATGAGTCATCAAACTACCGTTGAACTTAGGAAGTGGTTGCCTAAATTATGACATGGGGATGAGATTGTTTAGAGGTTTAGTGAGAATCATATTTCAGGACCGATTCTGCAAGAGGATTCTTGAATTGAATCCATAAAATCTCCAGTTTCCTCCCTCTTAAATGTTAAAACTTCATCCAGCGGTGAAGATAAAACAGAATAGGTCAAGCTCATTTTCTGCCCACGCCTCCTTTTCTTCCTAGAATGCTTCGCCAGGTCCGGGGTGGGAAGGCCTTACACAGGTCTGCACGTCCCCCTTTTTTTTTTTTTTTTAACAACCCAGTGGTGCAGGACCAAGTAGCAAAAAGACAAGATGAATGAATTTGTTTGCGCAGAAAGGTGAGCTGCTCGAGGCCCTCAATAATTCAGTGTTTGTAACAGACGGTGCATCAGTGGGTGAACACGCGCAGGCAGCTATGGCTGATTGATAGTCCCTGCCAAAACAAAAAACTGAACCCCATTATTCATATCGTAATAGGATCTGTGGAAACTATGCAGCCCGTTGTCTCTGTTGTCTCAACTGCAATAATTTGGCACCACGAGGAACAACTGTGCATTTTTGACCTTGGGTTTTTGTGCTACTGTTGATGTCTGACTTTATATTGATGGTTTGCAGACTTTTATTTGACATTTGACTTCTAAACAGCCATAAATAATGCTCTGCGGTTCGTCCATTATTCAAACGTGCGTAACTGAGGATGCCAATTTGACTTCAAGGCTTATTAAACATACACCTGATAATGCCTGTTATAAAGAGCAAGGCAGCTATCACACTAGAGGAACCCTGGCTCACCTGTCAGGGGGACCCGGCTATTGTTGGAAGTATTGACCTACACAAGCCTGTGTGGGTCAATAAGTGAATAATAGAAAATATCTGCTGTGTGTTGGTATGGGGTTTCTGATTATAGGCATGTCCACAAATTAAATGAACAGAGATGAAAGTGCTTACTTTTGATAGAAATCCTTGGTTTTAGTTGGTACTCTAAAAACTTGGTTCTGTACACTTGTTGAGTCCTAATGCATTGGTTATGTCTTAATAAAGTAATTTTAATTGACAATCAGAGTGCCATGAGTGCTTGAAAACAACACCAAGGACTTCCATCAAAAGTAAACTGGACAGTCATTGTTTTAATTTTCACACACATTTCTATATTTTGTTATTCCAATAACACCCTTTTTTTTAGAGAGTGTCATTTCTTACTGAATCGTAGTTGCTCTCACCCTTTCTCTGCTTTTATAGCTGCAATTGACCTATGCTCCCCCACCTGATATAAAACAGAGAAAGAGGGAGAGCAAAAAGCACACACCCTATGTGCTGCATGTGCACACACACAAACGCATTCACAGACTCACACACACATATCTCATTACCATTCTCCTGATAGTGCAGCCAGTGGGTGTTGCAAAAGGAGGAGCGAGGGAGAGCAAGAGAGAGGGGAAGAGAGGGAGGACAGGCAGGGAACCAGCCTTATAGAGAGGGAGAGCACGAACAAGACAACAGGAGATACGCGTGGGAACAGCAGCACACTAAATAGAGACAGAGCAGCGTTTGCAGAACAACATAACCTGTGTGTCTGTCCTTCTGTGTGGGTGAGTGTGTGAGCTCAGTGTGTTTCCACGGTTCTCCTGAGGCCGTGGCAGCCATGGCATCAGAGCCTAGCACCCAGTCCAGGGTGATGTTCCAGGCGGGGGACAAAACTGAGGAGCCGGCGCACCGCAAGCTGGGCAAGCTGACAGTCAAATACAACCGTAAGGACCTGCAGAGGAGGCTGGATATCGAGGAGTGGATCGACGGTCAGCTGCACCTGCTGTTTGACTGCGAGGTAGGGCAGGGCTGGCTCACACAGACACACACACTCAGACGACACACAGGGCTGGGTGAGGACGAGGTGAGGGAAGGGAGGAAGGGAGGTGGTAAGCTGCTCATAAGCGCCTGTACTATCAATCAGGGAAGAGAGATTACATAATAGAGGAATGGGAGGCAAGTAGCTTTGCTTCATGGCTGCAATTTCTGGCACATGAGCCCTTATGTATCATCAACCTGACTGCAGTATCAGCTGTGATGTGTTCTACAGTAGTGATAAGATGATTTCGTTAAGATATATTGATTGGTTCCAGTCAGTAGGAAGCAATTGAAAGCAGGTTGTAAAACCCTTAAAAAACGGTTGTGATTCAAAGTGTACGGTTGAATAGATTCTAGGATCAGTATCATTAGATAATAACAATATCAAGAAGTAGTAACGTCTATACACAACAACAGTATCCCTGTAACTCTGTGATAAAGTAGTGAAAAAGTGCCAGACAAAGTTATTAAAATGCCATGAAAGAGAGGGTATTTTATTTTGAAATGCACTGCTGTTATGCTGGCATCCAGGACATCATGTCATCTTTAAAGTGTCTCTGTGTTTGCAGACACATCCTCGTGGACACAGTCACTCAATATCTTTGCAAGATTTCAAAACGACATAGTCACTCCTATATGGATGATGATTCATCATAACAGTGATTAGACATCAGAGAAACATGCATGTTTAAATAAAAAATTCAAAAGTGTTGTTCTTTCCCACAACCATTCAAGTTGTACAATTTGTAACATTTCACACTTAGGTTATGTAAAGAAAAAAGATGTAATGTGGAACTTATTGCCAATTTTTCCCCCATAGTGTTCCTAATTAAAAGCCTCAGTACACAGATTGTGATGTTTAATGTGTGCAGGGGATAATGTCGAGACAGCTTACACGAGCAGCAACACAGCCCCCATAACTCGGCTCCTGTATGATGGGATACAATCCAATTATGTCAGAGGCTCCATATTGATTCGCTTGGCGTTCTCTGAGGGGAAACCATGGCAACAGATGTCTGAGCACCCACATGAGGCAGCATGGCACGGTGGAATTAGGGGAGTCTGTTCAGGAGCATGAGCTTCCCAATGACGGTGCAGATCGGATGACAACACCGCCTCCGTTTCATGCCGGAGACGACAGAGACAAACTGCTCCTCATTTCATTCTTGAACCACACAGAGACCCTTTTGGCTGCAGGCGGCCTGTAGCCCCCCCCCTGTCTGGCTTCCCCCGTTCACTGCCAGGGACACTCCACATCCATCTGTGGCTAGCTGACATGAACGTGTACCACTAGCCCAGTAGATTATATGGGTTTAGCCTGCTTGAGCTAATTTGACAACACTTTAGTGGCAGCTGAGTGTTGGGAATAGTGCTACAGTGCTACTATATTCGTCATCCCGGTAGTTTATTCCATTAACATCCAAAGCCTTCTTCCCTGTGGTAATATATGATAATATGCTTGTAAAGCTAGCTGAGGGCAGAATAAATTACATTAGGGAAACCAGGACATGTGGAAACAGATCTGAAGTCTTTTTTCTGTGTATCCTTTTGATCTTGTCCCAGAAACAGACTTTAATCATTTGCACTACTTGAACTGAAGCTGAATGGTTGGACCTCGGTATGATTGAGATGATGGGAGATAGCAATACAAGTAGAAATGCAGTTGATTCAATCACGTCTGACGTCATTAATTCAAGTCAACAGGAGTGTCCCTTGTTCACCAAAGTCTGAGTACTTGCTTTGAAAGTGAATGCTTTGCTTCCTAGTCGCGACATACCGGATATTTGCATTAGCCATTTGTATGGAATCAGCCGTGGCTCGTCCATGTGTAATGAATTTTGCATGGGCTCAGGGGAAGGTTACTCTGTTGGTTCTCAGAGTCTTCCGCGTGGAAGCATTTACCATCAGTCCCCTGTGTCACCACCTGAATTATTTAGCATCATCTCTAATTCATACAAGTGCTGCCTTGGTCTGGAGGGGCCGCCTCCGTTTCAAACTTCACACCTTTCTAAGAATGATGAATAAAAGTTGGGACAAAGCTCTGGGACAGACTGTTGAATGTAGAGCAATGTGAATGCCAGTGTGTGTGTGTAGTAACCCAGGTCAGTGTTTTCCCTACTGATACTAAACTATGAAGAAGACAGCAGGACAATCGAAAATATTTTTGAACACAGCATCTATTGTAGATATGGAATAAGTACGTCATGTTTTTACTTGTTTTCATTCTTATTTTGAAATTGTCACGCTTTTATGTAACTGAACAACAGGATTTGTCCCTCCTCGCTAAAGTTAAAAACTATTTTGATCTCTGTGCAGCTCGTGCTCTCGGCAGGAAATGGGAAGGGTCTGATAAGTAAAAACACACACTGGCATCTTCTCCAAACAGCTAGATTTCCTGGGCATGGCTTCCTCTACATTATCATACAAACACATAGTGTGTGTAATGGACCCATAAATGTTTTCTTGTACTATTCACAGGTCAGTGAAGACTATAATTTAACACTTACATACAGATAATTACAGGATTCTAGGTGTAAACAAAAACAATTAACAGTTACACATTTTGGGAAATTCGCTAATGAGTTCTATGGGTGAGTGTTAGATGAGAAAATTGACAGCTCTTTTCTGTCCGTTAAATATGAAGCTACTACTATTGAGCTGGTTAGCTTACCTTGGCAATACAAAAATGGGAAACAGTGAGCCTGGATACTTTTCTTGTTGAGCTAAGTTGTGAGTAGCTTCATATTAAGTGTTCATACATCCCCACATCTCATAATGTTGCTTTAAATAGTAAACACGCCTTACACACCGGGGCTAGAGGCAAAGTAATACAATGAGTACATGGAGCCTGAGCTGTTCCGTAAACTTTCTGATTATCTGTCCGTTATCAGTTTTAAATATGATATGAACTACAAGGAAACTGAGGGCTGCTTGAGAGGATAGAATGAAGGTCAATGTGTCAGCACAATCACTACAGGTCCTCCTCTGAGCAGTGTAACCATGCTGAGTAAATATTTTAATCCATAGTTTTTGTTCTGAACTTTGCACTCCACATTTTCCTGGTTTTGGATACTCATCATCCAGTATATTCCTAGATAACATGGACATTCTGGCTTTTAAAATTAGTGGAACTATTCACTGGGGCCATGAATATCAATACTCAATATCATGACAGTCGTGTTGGTGCAAACATCACTTCCATATTCATGATTTCCTACATTTGTGCCAACATTCAATTTAGCTCCAGACCTTTTCAACTTTAAAAAGTGCTGCTGAGACATTTCTGCCCAGAGGCCTCGTAAAAATGCTTTTTCCTCTGACAATGGAAGCAACTCTCAACAAGCTGAAAAGGGCGACTGCCTTTTATACTACTAAACTATATACTATACTATATTTTATACTATATACTAAAAATATATTAAAAAGGATCATCCTAGCTCTACAATGTTCCTGTGATTGAACAAACTAATAACTTTTCTATACATCACAGTTTTTAGCTAACATGATGGCTTTACTTTAATATATTTGTATTATTTAGTAGTACTTCTTTGGATTTACTTTTTAAGGATTCTTATCTTATCTTATATAATTGTAAATTGATGATAATCTAATAAAAAAAGATTTAAAAAAAGGATTTGGTCTAATCAATGGGATAATAAAACACAGACCCAAGCATCCACAGCCTTAGAAAGTAGAACTGAAACAGAAACGTACAGCGTGGACTAACAAAGAAATAAAACAAGCGCTCCCTGCATGTGTCCTGCAGACATAAGCAGAATCACTGAGGGTCCAGACCGGCAGCATGTATCAATTAGAGAGGGGGGCACAGGGGACGCTGAAGGTGGGCCCATCTATTCCACCACTCAGCACTTCCACATTGATTGGCTCTCTCCTCATCCAGAAAGCTGCGCGAGTCCCATCCTCACCAGCCATGAAAACTCCCCAACCGGAAAAAAAAAAAAAAATCAGCCCCACTTGTCAAAAATGAGTGTTCACCTGCTGAGTCTCGATATCAGGATTCTTCCATGGAGCCCTGTTCAGTCCCTCTGAAGTATATAGTTAAAAGGTGTGGTAAAAGGAAATGATTTCTTTGCTATATTTGCTTTTTATAACAGGAGATTGTGTCCTTTTTTCTTTTTTACAATGATCTTTGGCAGTTTGATGATGGGATTAATCATCAATGTGCTCCCACCCAATGTTTAAATGAAGGCTAACACATAAGAAAAAGTGTTTTATATATAGTAAGGCATGCTCTTCATATTCTACAGTTGCCGCTGCCCTTAGGATTGTATCTTAACTCACAATGTAGGACAGCCTAGCGGAGATGAATATATTCTTTCGAGAACATTTAAACTGGAAATAATCTCTCAGTAATGGCTGAACTGCATGCTAGCTGGGTAAACCATCCATGAAATCTGATGGTGTCATGTGGCACGAATGGCCCCCAAGAGCCTTTTTGCCTTCATGCCTCAGTGCTCTTACTTATTTGTCTAGCACTTCCTCCATCACATGATTGTTACGAGAGATTGTAAAGGAAGAATAGAAGGGTTTACACTTTTTACTACAATACAGCAAAGACTGTTTACTGGGGTGATCACCTATGGATAAAAGAATGGTGACAACTCTTTCTAACGCTACAATCAAACAGCTTATATAGTAGTGTGCTGCAGTGAAATCCTTGTCCTGGCGCATCACCATCTTACACTTTCTCTTCCTTTCCAATGACTTTGCTCAGTCGCGTGGAAAATCTGGAATGGATGGCAGGAAGCCCACATTATACAGCGTCTGCAAGAGCTTTGCAGAAATGCAAGTGTGTGAAATATAAAAGAAGAATATTGTGGTAACGTTTGTTACTTTTTGCTTTTACAGGAGGAAGAGATTCCAGAGTTAGAGATTGACATAGATGAACTCCTGGAGCTGACGGACGAGGGGCAGAGAACCCGTCTGCAGGTGAGTGCGCAATTCTTATATATTCAGTAGAGGCTTTGTGAAACTGGAACCCAGGACTTTAAGACTTTAACCAAAGAGATAATTAGTTCAACCTCTTGACACCTAGGTACATACCTAACTATGTGCAATGCTGGTTAATAGCCTAACAAGCACTTGACCCTTGCTAGAATCCAATGTTGCAATGTTTGTACTGAAAAAGCAATGCCCATTATTGTTACTGAGCCTATTTGTGTATGCTTTCTTTGTTAGGAGCTGTTGCAGGAATGTGGAAAGCCAAAAGAGGTGAGAAACTTATATGAAATCACATGTAGCATATATATTTCAATATTTAACAGATAAACAATATAGCTTGTGTAGTGTTGTTATGGCTAGTCTGCTGGAGGTATTTGCAGAAATAAATCTATTTTCTCCATGCCTCCTTTAGGATTTTATCAACGGGCTGCTCTACAGGATAAAGGGTCTACGCAAAATGTCAGGTCCCTTGAAGAAATAATTATAGGTCAACTAAAGAATTGAGACAATGTGGAGCCTCCGATCTTCCCATCTCCCACGTGTCAACCGCAACATGTCAGTGGGACTCTCTTCCTGCCCTCCCCCCCTAGCATCAGTCTTAACACCAGAGGAGTTTTCAATGGATTTTTTTTATTCTTTCACTTAAATTCATGGACTGCTATAACATTTGTTCTCCCATAAACAAACCAATAATGCACATGTGATCAAAGATGCACTGACTTTTGTTTTGTTTTTGCGTAAGACTGTACATTTTTTCGGTTGCCTATTTATGTACATAAATATTTTCTGTTCTGATAACAGTGTTGTATGTGGAAATAAAATGGAACATTTTCAAGACAAGGCTGTTGATGAATTATCAAAAGGGTTACATGGGATTTTTAGCAAAGTGACGGCCCAACAGTATCAGTTATCATTAATTCAAAACATAAAAATTGATATTGACATCCATTACACCCATCAATTTAAAGTACCACTAAAACTATGCATAGTTGCTCTTTATTACTGCTCTAAAAACACTCATTTGCCTTTAAATAATTATTTCCTACTGTCCAGAGGCAATTATAAGACGTTACTGCAGCGCGACGGTCGTTCACAGAATACAAGCTTCTGTTTTCTGGCACAAATCTTTCAACAGATCGATGGAAACAAAGGAGACGTTCACATGTCAAGTCTAGGAGTAAACACAGTGAAATCAGCAGCAGGGAAGTACCATTAAGTATGCATCCATTATCCTCATCCATTTCCTGTCTGTGGTGCGTGTATGACATGGCCAGAAGAGGCAAACACAGTAACAGCCTCCATGCAAACCTTAATGGAGCAGGGCCCCCAGAGGAAAAGTGTAATTATGGTTTCTCTAGCTTGACAGTAATGCACACTGATGATACTGCACTCTGGCCTTCTCTCTGTCATACACACAGGGTCTCTCAGCTCCATTTTAGTAATTCGCTCAGCTCCCTCCTCCCCACTTCCACTCTCTGACACAGAGGCCATCCATACTGACTACACTTCCGACAAGGCCTGGCAGCGGGACGTTTGTGATGATATCAGTGATTGCTTCAGTGTTATAAAATAAAAATAAAAATATGTGACATGCTGTAGCACCTCTCTTCTGCATTCTTTATAATGGAATTACACACAAGGACAAGGAAGGCAACGCTCATTTCACACTTGCAGCCAAACATAGATTACAAGAGTGACTGCAGTGCTTGCCAAAATAAAACAAAGCCCTCAGTAATCCCTTTATACAGACTCCTCTGTATTTCTACAGTCCACAGCTGACAGTTACTGGGAGTGTACATCATCCCGTTTGAACCCGTGATATGGCTGCTTTCTGTCTGTGCTGTTGATTTTTTTTCAAATAATCAAATGGTGCGAAGTGCTTCTAAAGATGAGCCTCTGGGAAGTGACATAAGAACAAATCCAAGCTTCTTTTTAATGTTTCACTTTTCTTGTGTGCAGTTGGCTGTGCAGCTTTGCTCAAATACTATTACAGAAAAATAGGAGCTATGTTTTTTATATTATACGCACAGTATAATATTCGTGTTATTCTTATTTCTAGGCTTTGCTTTGCCATATATGTTTTGTTTTGCTGATTTAGATCCCTGCTAGCAGTTACAGAAAGAAGATGCTGCTCTTTCCGTGGTCAACAGCGACGCATGTTTACAGCCATTTTAAACAGATTGGATAAGTTAGGGTTAAAGGGTTTTGGCTTCTTGTAGTTAATAGGTAGTGTTTAAATCTTCTTGGCTTGACAAACAATAATAGGTCACTTAAATCTAAAGCACAAGTCTAACAGTAATGACTGACCAGAACCGGACAGGGCAAACATCTACAGCGCAGTCTCACTATCATGTCTTCCTCTTCCTCTTTGGCCCAGTGTAGTTAGTAGTGCGATGCTCCATCCTGTCATATTTATCATGGCCTTCCCTGGGGAGATAATGGAGAGTGGATTGATTATTCATCACAATAAATACTTTATATTCATGCTGCTTAACAGTATGGCAACAGCCTGGCTACAGTCTATCTGGGTCATGGTATGCATTCCAAATCACAGCCTTCTTTCTTGGGCATCAGAGCAAAGATTTCCATGCAAAGCTCGATTAAGATAGTTATTGTGGTGCTCGTTATAATGGATGTACAGTATGGTGTGTTACCTAAAGCAGCGGTTGCAGTATAGGTCTCCATCACAGGTTTGACAGCGAATACTGGCGTCATGGTTACAGATGCAGCACCATGGCAGCTCCTCTTCATCACTGTCTGATGGCTGAGGTGCAACAGCAGCCGAGGAAATCCTGCTCTTGGGTGCTGGTGTCTGGGTGTGAAAAAAAGATATATCAGATTAACAAGGAATTTAATCAAGTATTCATTTCCCTAAACTAACTGTAAGTTGATTCATTGACTAAATAATAAGAGGAAATTAAGATATAGTCAAACTTAAAATGAGGATATTTTATGAAAATAATACTAGCTTTATTGACATTCACTTGACTGCAAAAGAAGTATGATTTAGGATAATAAGTAAATAAATGAAGAAATCATATTCTGAACTCTTCAAATGTTATTCTATCCAAGAGCTTAAAAAACGTTTTAGATTTAGTATTTAGTAGTTGTTGTGTAGTACCAGTTTCTTAGCCATGGTTTTCTTCTCTGTGTTCTTTGGTCCACTGTGTTCTAAAGGTATGTTGTAGCCACTGGCTTCGTCCAATGTAGCCTCTTCAGATAGCTGGGAAAATATACAGGAATTTAAAACATGTCCAAATGTCATTGTAAATTATTTAAATAGCAAAATAGCAGCCCCTTGTGGCCATGCAAACTGGTCCACTTCAGTTCACACTCATCTTTAAGGGTGTGATAAGCACCCAGTAGTAACAGGCTTGTCATATTAATGCAATGCAAACCACATTACAGTGAACTTTATTTAAAAAAAGGTCCCACACCTGTTTTAAAACTCTCCTCACAGCTTCTTCCTCAGTCTCATCCTCACTGTCAGGATGCTGAAAGTCCTCCATAGTAACTAGAGATGACATGGCAAATACAATACAATTTATGGCACAATGTTTAAAATTAAAGTTCTTCATATTATCTGACATTTTGGTGTGGAAGTACGGATAGTCAGTAAGGTATAGAAAGTGATAAACCGAGAGCTCTATATGTGATTTTGTACCTTTGTCTGGGTCCTGCCCCTTCAGCTGTGCCATCCTCTTGGCCATGTGGAGGACCTGATCCTGGGAGTGGCGCTCCTTCCTCAGCTCCTCCATGGCCTCCTCCAGGACACGGGCCTTCTCCGTCTCCAGCTGCTTGTCCGACTCCTGGTTCTCCTCCAAATTCTCATCCAATGTCCCTGCCTCCCCCTTGTTGAGATCGTTCATACGGCCATCTACACCTGCAGAGAGATTGATGAGACTATAAGTCAGCTTTTGGTGTCAGAATGCAGTTGTGATATAATTGTTATAACTGCAAAAGACTGTGATTATGACTGCATCTTTAAATATTAATCAAATGTTGGAGAGGTCAATGACAGGAATAATTACTGCATTCAGGATTTGATTGCTGGTCGTCAATGGCAACTTCCTCTGACATCTGAGTAATCAGATCATTGGCTTGCTCAGTCCGAGTCCTGTTATCTGGAGGGCGGTGCACCTGTACAGATCAGCACAAAAGGACATATACTACTAGTGAGCAATTATAGCAAATTTAAAATGCAGGTCCTTTTAAATGAACTACTACAGCTTCTCATACTGTTAGGTCCAATGTGTTAGAAATGAGTGGTAAGAGTTTCAGCTTACAGGTGGAGGAGCTTGAGATGGTGGAGTCTGACCACGTAGAGCTGCCAGGCGGTCCTCCATCTCTATGGTAGAAGGCACTGGCCGACTGGGAGCTTTCAGAGCAGCAAGACGAGCCTCAAGCTCTTTCTCGGAGGGGATGGACTCTGAAAAAGAGGTAAAAAGCTTACAATGGCTTTTGCCAAAGAGAAAATATACTATTTCTATAATTCTTAATTTATTGATGAAGATCTATCTAGTTTCATTACTTGGTGCAGTGTCCTCTTTCAGCTTTTGAAGCCGTTCAGCAATAGCTTGGTCTTCTTTACTCAGGCCTTTGGTTGGTAGATGGCCTGCTTTATTGTTTCTATTGACACCTTGTGTGGGAGCATGTGTCGACTGTGCCTGCTGTTTGGCTTCAAGTGCAGCGACCCGTCTAAGGAAGAAACATGAATTTTATATATCAGGCAACTGCAGTGTTGACACAGGTACATTTTCTAAATGTAATCATATACTGACTTTTTGTAATTTTCAGGAGGAGACCATTTTGCAGCACTGTTGGGAGATTCTCCACTTAAAAGGAAATAAATAGGTATGAGCAACAATGCTTGGTTAAGACTAATTAATGATCACATTAAGAAATTGTTTTGCACCTTTACCTTGTCAGATTGCCATGGCACTGTTTGCAGACCTTCTGCTGGGTGTTGCCACAGCGAGGCACCACAGCACTGAAAGTCAAGCAGCCAGAGCAGAAGGAGCGGCCACAGCTCTTACAGCCCAGCTGTGAGGATATTCAACGTAATTTACTGAGAAAACGTTCCCATATAACGGTAAATGCGTATAGCTATGTGATAAATATTAGCCAGCAAGGTCTTACCTCCTTCTTGAAGAGACTGAACTTGGATGCACAACAATAACAACGGTTGTCCATGCCGAAACGTGTAGAGAGTCATGAGACATGCAATTAATAATTTACTGATATGGCTCTAGCGGGTAAATATATGAATTAAACTGACTCTATGAACCGTTATTTCGCAGCTAGCTACCCATTTTCAACCTTTCAACGCTGCTGTAATCAAAACAGGAAGCATTCCGGAAGATGCGACGTGACGTCAAACTGCATATTCCTGTTTCTGGTTCCTCCAATCACCTCTCTTCAAATTCTCTCGCGGTCCTTGTTCAAAAACACAGAGCTGACCACTGTACTGAGTTCCTGTAACAACGGCAAAGCTCTAACCATTGAAAAAAAGACAGAAGAGTCATATTGACGGTATGAAAACACACAATTGTGCAGATCACCAGTTTTGTTTTTGTATGTGACTTGTATATTTCGCTCATAATGCGAACAACGTCAACAACATTCAAGCTAAAGCTAATGTTAGCTAGCGTGTTAGCTCCCCACGTCAGTTAGTAGATACTGGAAACACGCATGCATGCAAGATGATAGATACTACAAATGTGTTTTAGTGTTAGAGGATTCATAAGATAATACAGTCTGTACTAATAGTTTAGTTTATTTCGGTAATTTGTGACTAACACAACCCAAATTCAGAAGTGTTTAATACAATTGGAATGACAAATCATAATACCCAAAAGATGTAGGATTAGTTTATTACACCTACCCTTACATTAAGTTGTTCCCTTATTTAATTTGAGTGTTTTACAATGTCACTTGTGATTGTAAATGTTATATATTCGTTCATCTTAAAATTAAATCTTATTCATAGCGTAATATGATAGTAATCCATAATCTATCTTCTATATTAAAATGAATAGTCATAAAGTGTGTCAGAGGGTGTAATATGAGATTTTTTTTGAAAGGAACAAGAGCACTTGTTTCTGAGCAAATGTTCTACTGGACGTTACTGATATGATAATGTGTATCTGTGTGTGTTTGTCGGCCTCTAGGCATCCATTGGTTTTTAATTTCCACAATGGCAGAAGGAGGAGATGTGGAATGGGAGCTCAGCAAAGAAAACATCCAGCCGCTGAGGCGGGGCAGGGCCATTTCAGCCTTACATCAGGCGCTCAGTCAACAGCAGGAGGGAGACAGCTCTGCCATCAACCAGCAGAGGCAGTATGGAACATATTTTAAACAACAACACCCAGATTGAAACACTCCTTTCCTCTTTTTACTTGATGATGGAAGTGTTGTGGCTTTTTGTTCCTCCAGGGCCTTTGAGTCTGAACTGCGAATGTATGATGGAGATGATCCGCTTAATGTTTGGGACCGGTAAGTTTCAAATGTAAAGTGTATTCTTAACTGCTGCTTTTAAGCCTGAGAGTTTAATTTCTAACCAAACATGGTTCTGTCTTTTAAAGGTATATCAGGTGGACAGAGCAAACATTCCCTCAGGGAGGAAAGGAGAGCAACCTCGCCACAATATTAGAACGAGCCGTGACCAGATTCACAGAAGAAAATACATATTTTGACGACCCTCGCTATGTTGAACTCTGGATCAAATTTGTAGGTGTAATATTTGAAACACTGACTATTTTTGCCACTTTTAGAAACAAATGTAGCTTTAATAACTTTTGTCATACATTTCTTTTATGCGTCATCAGGCAGAGCACTGTCCGGAACCCTTGGACATTTACAGGTACATTCAAGCACAGGGAATAGGATTGAAACGGGCATCTCTCTACATCGCTTGGTCTGAAGAATATGAGAATCAGGGCAACTGTCGCAAAGCAGACCTGGTCTACCAAGAAGGTTTCAAGAAGGGGGCAGAGCCGCATGATAAGCTCCAGCAGTTTCACAAGTAAGGATTTATCCAGCCAAGTTTGAGATAATGTTTGAAAATATTGTCATAATCTAAATGTTCTGTTCTGTTATTTGTAGGGCTTTGCAGGCACGTGTGTCCCGACAGGTAATGATGAATGTGGAGGAGGACGATAGTGATGAAGAGCATAAACAACTTGAGAGAGTTTCTCTAGCTGAACTCAAATCAAGAGGGAAGAAAAAGGCCATCGCCCCTATCAATAGAGTAGGGTCTGCAATCAGAAGTAAGCACGTTTTTATATAGACTACATTTGTTAAGAGTATTTAAGCTGTTATTACCAAACCTACATTTCAGAATCATTAATAACATTTAATGACTATTTTTCTTTTTTTTGTGAACAGGTGTTCATGCAGGCATGCAGTCACACGCCGCCCCGGCACTCGGCAACGCCTCAAACAGTAAGCTGCTGGTCTTTGATGAGAACAAGGCTCATGCGGGCCCTTCAGAGCCTAAGCTGGAGGCTTGGATGGCCCCTCCCACTTCAAAGGCAAAGGAAAACGAGCAGAAACCTGGAGTATGGTGTGACGTCAAGGTATAGACATGCAGGTCTTGACTTGGTTGAGATGTTTAAATGTTAAGAGTTTGGCCAGGTTATGTATGTAATGTTTATGTACCACAGATACCCCAGAAGACTAAATTTGGACATACCGTTATGGCCCCACCGCCTCCAAAACCTGCTTTCCAACCATTTGTAGATGAATCGGATCAGCCTCCAACAATGTAAGTGACTACTTAAAACCATGATCTACAGTTTTGATTTGTTGCTTTAAATCCCATCACACACCAGATTCCTAATAATAAGAAGCCATGTACTAAATAATAAAATGAATCGAATGAATCAATTTTAACATTAAGTAAACATCTCGATTTTGATGGTTTGTTCCTTTTTTCGAAAATGTTTGGTTTTATAAAAAAGACAATCTAAATCACATTATGGGTTTTGGTCATTACACTTATTATTTGTATTGTATTGGCCATTAAAGGTGGGGTAGGTAAGTTTGAGAAACCGGCTCGAGATACACTTGTTGTTATATTCCATGGAATGCTCTTAACATCCCGATAGCAATGAATATCTTAAGTGCTTTGAAAAAAAAATCCATAAAAAAATGTCATCTGTGGAAGCCGTAGTACTGTAAAAAGCACGACCAATCATTTTAGCCGGCCCGGCTAAAGTAACTGGATGGCCTACCTGCCTGTCAACCTTCCATCTGTGCACAAACTTATCTCGTGCCCTCATTGGTCATGTGCACGTTCGTGTGTGTTGGAGGAGGGGCTCTATAAGGAAGTCGCAGATTTTCTCCGGTTGTGTATTTTCAAATTCTAGTGATCTCGAGCCGGTTTCTCAAACTTACCTACCCTACCTTTAATAGACTATTTGGAATGGAATGATAGCAGATTTGTTTTTACTAATACCAGTAAAATCCCACCATTCTCGATTTGAACAGTAAAACAAATGTATAATCGACCTTTGGCCTTAAAAGAGCATGTCGCTTCCTATCTGCTAACAGCTAACATTAATAAGCTCTCCTCAATATTTCAACATGCATTTGTTGTTCACAGTGAAGCATTCTTGGGCAGAAAAGTATAACCTTCTCCAGTTATGTTTGTAAGATTTCTATGATTTAATTTAGCATCTTTGTGCTACCACTTCAGGACTCCATGTAAGATCAACCCGGCAGTGAACACGGTTTTATCAGCCCGTAAGCCCTGCAGAGAGGATACTCCTCTGAAGAGACTACAGGATCACCATCAGCAACATAATGAAGCGGTATCGGGAAAACGCCAGGAGCAGAGCATGTACTGTAAAGAGCTGCTGCTCAGCGGCGCTACTGAATTCTGCTTTGAGGAACTGCGTGCAGAACGCTACTTCAAAAAGATGAGACAGGAGGTCGGAGGTCAAAAGGATGAAGCCAGTGCCAGTGCTTCAAACTGATGCGTCTTCGAAGACTGACAATTTGATCGCCCTTCTTTTATATGAATCTTTACCTTAATTTAGCCAAAAGGTTATCTACAAATATCATGTAGTGACTGCTGTGTATTGTTTGTTATTTTGTTGTAAATATTTCTTTTTTTATATCCAGCTGCTCAGAAATGGAAAAGCCAAAGGGGCGAGGTTTCTTTGAAAGAAATACACAGTATTTCATGTTTTGATTTATAACAATATGACAGGGGTATCCTATACAATGTAATTTAATCCAGTACAAAATACCACACTTTGTACTATAGCAAGGAAACAATATTCACAAAAATGTTTTGCAATCAAAATAAGTAACACAGGCTTCAGAGTAGTACATACTGGATTATACTATATAGTTAATACTAAACACATTTGTTCACCACAGCCTCTGCCACAGAAATACTTCTCACTTTCTCCCTACTTACACCATTTATCCTATCCTAAGTACATTGTTTAAGAATAGTATTGTTTTATATGGGCTACCTTCTTAGATGACTGTCTTTTTCAATATTTGTTGGGAAAATGTTTCGGTACATTTCCAAAACAGCTGTAACACGGTTTTAGTGAGGTGATTTTACTGGGTTCAAGGCCTTGTTTGTTATTGGTGTTCAATAAACTAGTGAACTACTTGTTTTTGTGTATTTTTAAGACCTTGGGAGATTTTGTAATGCACTGTCAGCAGGGGTCATGCGAGGGAAAGCATGAATTGTATTCTTGGTAACGGTATTTGAATTATTAATGGTGAGCAAGAAAAGTTCAATGCTGACTGTTTTGCAGTTTCTAGTCAACACTGGTGGTTATAAGTATAGGCAAACAAATGCATTTAAACAGTCATAAATGTCATCTTGACTGCTACTTTTATTCTAATGAAGTGACTTAATTTAACTTGCTCACGTATCCTTGTGCTTTTTTTTTTAGGTGTAAGACATTTATGAGCATATCATGCATTCAGTTGGCCAAATGTTAATCATTGTCCAGGAGAGGTCACCCAGAAGCCCACTGACTAAAGTGGTGGGAGTAAACCTAATCTACTGTGATGATGGGATGCACTTCACACACAGGCAGCGCAGACTTTGATGAATGGCTGGAAGATAGGTGGTTGGCTCATTAGCAAGTGAAATCCAGCCTTTGCAGTTGTGGGCAGAGCGGGCCTCGGTTATTCCCGGGAGGTCACTACACTGATGTGCTGTGCCACAGAGTGTTGCTGCTTTTACATGCACACGGAGCACTGTGGAAACACATTTTAATCTCATTCTGGAAATATGACACTGCCAGCCAAGATCCTCTCAACTGGTGAGTTCCCAAACTGTCTACTTAAAATGTTGGCTTAGCACTGAGAGCAGCTGAAATTCAGTGATAAATGATAGGCAACACGATGCAGTCCCATCATAATAACACAGCATAACCACATCATAATGCATCCTCTATGGCTCGCTATTTGGCAGGACTTATTAAAAGCTCATCGCGTGAAAAGCAAGCAGCCAGTGACTCCGATAGCGTCTCAGACAGAAAATCCATAGCTCTCCCTTACTGCAGTGGACAGATGGTACGAGCAAGCTACCTTTGCTTAATGCGCTTTGGATAGGCCCTCAGAGAAGAGCTTTTGTCCAGCATTGTTACTTTGATAGACAAGAACACTCAGGCTCCACGGGCCATGTTTTTGCAGTCAGAGCTCTTAACCTATTTTTATGATTTGTCTTCGCATGCACCAGTTCACAGAAAGTTTGCACAAGCCTCTACAGCACCTCACTTTGAAGCCAGTAGACATTTTGCATCAAGGTGAACTGCACTTGGCCAACCATGCATGGAGAGGGAAGAGCATCACAAAGTGCAGCATCCCCTTAAAGCCATGCAGAGAAACAAAGAAAAGATGAAGTTAGTCATGATGAAAATGACTTAAGATGTAGAAGCTCATCATTTTGACTGACTATCCCATAATGTTGACCTATTATCTCATAATTTTTGATTTAGTATGTCATAATCGTGACTTTTGTCTCATAATTGTGACTTACAGTACCTTGTATGCCAACGCTTTGTTTTAATTTCTGCTGTAGTTGCCTCACTCTTAGAGAATTAGAGTGGATTTAAAGGTCATCTGGAAATGTCACTGGATTATGACAAGAAATTACATTTGCTATAGCTATATAGGCTGAACCCTGATGACCCCCGGTGTAACCCTTAACAGATTCATCCAAAACAATAGAATGAATTGAAATGCAAACAATTAAGGCAGTATCACTATACAGCCCCTGGGCTTTCATTTTAATGACACTGTGGTTTAAGACGGCTCTTGTCACTGTAAGCCCTTTTTTTACATCACAAGCCAGGTTCTACTATTCATCCAAATGGGGGGGGTAAGTGCTTTCATGAGATGCATCAGAAAGGTTAGGAGTCTGACAGGGAAGCTGACAAACACATTTAAATAAACCCCTTGAATCCAAAGTTAACATTATAATATTGTCTCTCTATGGACACGTGCTAAAAAAGGATTGATCAAATAACGCTGTGATTTAAAACAATACATATAACTCGCATTAACAGCACAAGGGAAACAAAATAATTATAGATAATAATAGAAAGATACAAAAAAACTTAAAATAAACACACCTTTCCTCTTAAAATAACTGTTCTAGAAGCACAGCATTTTTGATGGTTCAACAGTATTTAGGTCAAAAAGAAGAAATAAAAATGCATTTCTTTTTAGCATACTTATCATTTATTGATCTTTTAAACCTTCTAGTTTCCCTTCACATTGGCCATGCAGAGTTTGGGTTCATAAATGTCTCAGCAGACAGCCTAAGCAAACAGGACTGTTTTTGTGATAATCGCCCATTTTTGCCTACAAAGACATACATTACAAGACCATTTTAGAGGGAGAGGGAGGGGTCGTGTCTGCTATACCCCCAACAGGCAAATGTGTCATTGTTATGCAGATTGGTTCAGTGGAGCCTTCTTTCTTTGAGTTTATTTGATGTGTAAGGAGGAACATCATCATTACAGCTTGTTATAGTGCCTCTGGAAGCGTCTCATCATATCCAAACGCTGTGTCGAACATGTATGCCCCAATTCTGGCTCAGACTGCCAGGCATTTCTGCACGACTTGACCCTAATACATTTCCCTGCTTTGTGTCTGCTCTTATGCTGCTGTATAAATTATTCAGGAAATGATTGTGGTAAAAAAAGTGAGGGGAATGCTTCAGTCAAATAATGAGCATGCTACTCTGTGGCAGTGTTGTAACTTCTTCATCCACAAAGATTTTTGGGTCACAATGAAAAAATTGGGAGAGCGAGGATTGCACCCTCTACAGAAATAGCCCAACTCTATGCTCCCCCCCCCCCTTCCTCCTCTTCAATGCTTTACAGCTACAACAACCCCTCCCGCCATCTGCCACCCCTAACCCTGTCATTTCATGGATAATGCATTTGACTGAACAGCAGCACACTGGGCGAACGCAGCGTCCTCGTGTTCGCATGTCACCCACATTACGTGCAAAGGAGACAGAGGGAGAGAGATGGAAGGCAGGGAGGGAGGGAGGGGGGGAGGGAGGAAGGGTGAAAGGTATCCCAGGTGATGAGGTGAGTCGAAGCTCTCCTCTCCTTACAGTCACTGGAAACCCGGCACACATGCACACGCCGCTATCAATTCTTTTGCAGCCCAATGAGGGAGTGGGAGGAGGCAGGGAAGGAGGGGAAGTGATAAAGAGAGAGAGAGGAAGGTGGGAGGGAGAGTGTGTGTGTGTGTGTGTGAGAGAGAGAGAGAGACAGCGAGTCAGAGCAGGAGAGGGAGAGGGGGGGGATGGAAGTAGCTGTGTGGGGCCGTGGTATTCTCTTCTCCTGGATGCTGTCTTTCCTCTTCATGGCTTTGTCCCCCTTTTGTACGGTCAGCCTGTGTGTCCAGGAACAGGCTCCGGCACACGGACCAGCACTCAGCCTCGCAGCCCGGGATGATTCAGTCCCAACAAAGAGCCTTTGAGATGTGTGCTTCTGCCTGGAGGGAGGAACGCATCAGGCTTTCCCAGGCAAGCGGCAGCCTGCAGTGTGCGTTGGCTTGAGAGCTCCTCGTCATCGTATGAGAGAGAAGGAGAGCAGCGTGTATGTCCGTGTGTGAGTGTGTGTGTGTGTGTGTGAATGTGAGTGTACAATAGTGTATGTGCTCAGTCTTGCTTCTAATCCTTCTGGTGGAGAGAGGCTCTCTTCTTCACTACGCGGCAAGGTAAGGGGATGGTACATTTTATATATTTTTTCCCTCTTCTAACAATGATTTATCCCTCCAGAGATTCCTCTTCCACGGTGAGGAGAGTTGGGTAATGAGGGGGAGGTGGGTGGGAGGAAAAAGGGAAAAGAGGCTTAACGTCATTGATAAGGAGCGGGGTAGTCGGTAGGCATCAGCCCTGGTGGAGGAAGAGAAGAAGGAGGTGGAGAGGAGCAGAATGCAGTGCAGCCAGGTGCTGGTGTCGGGGTGAAAGGGAGAAAAAAGGGAAGACAGAGAGGATGTATTCAATGATGGACTGCATCTCAAAAGAGCCTTCACCTTATGCTCACCCCTCATCCTCAAAATCCCCTCTCTCCCTTCGTGTCTCTGTCGCTTCTCTCCTCAACCTCTATTTTAAAGAAAAGGTTACAACAATCCCGAAAATGGATCTCACTTTACAAACACAGACAGTGCCACTGCCATGGACACTGAAAACAGGAGCTTCTTGTTTTTACCATTGTGTGTGTGTTCAAGTGTGAGTGTGAAGGCTAAGGTGATATTTCAGGTCCTACCAGTGGATGAGGAATTAAGTATATTTACACCCTCAACAGTAAATGCGTGCTTTGACATGTGACTGTATTTTGTGAACATAATAGACTTTCATCCATAAATGTAATCATTGGAAAAGCTGTTGTGTTAGAGCTTGCATGAACGTGGGAGGCGATGTTTGAACTGTGATCTGTTTGAATTTAAGACATTAAGGGAGCTGCTTCGTGCTGTTGAAAACAGACTTGCAGAGTCTCTCTTTTAGTCTTTCTATTAGATGCAACATTGAACCACCCAGTGAAAATCAATTTGAGGCTAAGGTGTTTTAAAGAGGTGAATAGATTTTAGTTTTCTTCCAATGCTTCAGCGTCATCATTCTTATTGACAGAGTTGTGACATTCACGCACTTGTTTAAGAGTTGTGACTCAGAAAAAGACTTAAAGTAATCAAGACAAAGGAATTAGATAAGATCCACGGCTCTAGGTTCTTGGAATTAGTGTTTTTAGTAGTGCAATACTTCAGTCAGGTGATGTAACTGACCATGTGTTAGTGTCTCAGGTTACTCATTGATATTCAAGAAGACAGAGAATGAGAAAAAGGGTAGAGGAGGTGACAGAGAAGGTGTCTTTGGTGCATGCATTGCACACCCTAACACACACACAGAAACAGACACACACAGCTGGACATCTGCTTCACTTTGTAAGATGTTTGTGCTCCGCTCAGGAATTGTCTCAAAGTTTTTATGGGGCCATCTCATTTAGACCATTTTGCTCTTGGTGAACCACAAACCCTCAGCATAGACTCTAGTCCATGTAGTGAGAAACTGACAGGACAGGCAGTGATAGGGACTTGATACGTGACAGCATGCAGGTGTAAGTGTTACATCATTGTC